ATTTGCTAACTGTGAATGGAATGGAACTTGGTAAGTGGTTTGAACTGATAGCAGCAGCCCTTATGCTTTTGCTTGGCTTTTTCTGTCTATTGTAAATGCTGACGTGTTACGCTTCAATGACCGTTTTAAATTGCCAGCACAGGTTTCTCTCATTGGCTTTGTGAAAGGTGCTCTTTCAGATCTTTGCCTGACGTGAACCGGCCCTCGATTTACGGCCTTATCCCCAGAGTGCCCTTACCCCCGCCTGTCCTCTCCTCTGTTGTGCCGTGGCATTTCTTGGGGCGCTCATTGTCTTCCTATTTCTGTAATCAGAGTGCAGTCTGCATAAGAGGATTTAGATTTCTGTGGCTCTCTCCAGTCATGCAGTGACAACAAGGGGATGCAACAGCAGGGAAATCACACGGCAGGCATGGGGAAGGAGACCAGAAGACAAAACAAAAGCAAATTCGGACTGTGCTCAGATAAGCTCCAGCCTGCATCTTCTGATAAGATTCTCTGAGCTCAGATGAGAGATGAGCCAGTATTTGGAGCGGAGAGATGCAAAATACAGACGAGATGACTGTCTCTCTCGCAGGACAGGGCTAGTGCTTACATGATGTGCTTTGGGAACACATATGCTTTATTTCTAATCAAAGGTAACACTACAGAAGCATGAGGCTGCTGGGCCTACAGCGGTCAATGGTGATCCATATTCACTCTCTCATATCGATTCCAGAGAGGACTACTGCTCTTGTGCAATTGGATTAGTTTCACCTTGATTCTTTTCAAAACCATTTCTCATTGATACATTTTTTTGCCTCACACTGCATAAAATATTCCCTAATCTACTCCCTAACCACATTTAGGATTATTATTGTTTAATCATTTCTGTATTTAGTGATAAGCTTAAACCAATAAATTCAACAAACATAGACGGAAATTATGCTTTATTCTTTTTACTTAATGATTAAAAAGAAACGCTAGGGCAATGTTAAAACCCATGATCTTGCTGTTTGTGGATTAGGGTTAATAGCTTTTCATTTGCATAGTGTTGTAGTTTTGTGATCCTAGTTTGAATAATTTTAATCATCTGCATTTTTTATATGTATAGATGCGTGTCACTAATGATTACTGAACTAAACTTTTAACTTGGAGGTGTTTTTACATTTTATGACATCATGAAGTCAGATTTAAAATAAATACATAACACATTTGTTCACACTTTAGTTTGGGGACCAATTCTGACTTTTAACTATGACTTTTGCCTCAATAAACTAATTTGCTGTTTATAAAGAGTTAGCAAGGTAGTTTAGGTATGGCATAGGATTAAGGGATGTAGAATATGGTCAGAATAAGGCATTAATATGTGGTTTATAAGTACTAATAAACAGCCAATATGCTAGTAATATGAATATTGATGGTTCTCATTTACAGTAAACCTTACATGGACTATGTTTACATGCACAACAGTGATAACTATCCAAATCTGCTTATTTTCAAAACCTGATCATTAAAGAAAACATGTTGACATGAGATGTGATTTTTTTTTCATATTAAAATGTAAACAAACATTCATGCATTGAAAAAATGTCAGAATGCTTCTAAAGGAGTTTATATGCAAAGCGAATTTGGAGAACTGGGCAGAAATCCAGGTGTACAATCCTTAAACAGTTTCTGACCTTCACCCGATCAAATCAACACTGTACAATGTGTTTCTGTGACCTTACACATTGTCAGATTATTAATCATAATTGGTGTAAGATTGTGCATGTGAACTGTGAACTCTCAGACTGTAGAAAATGTGGCAGATTTCTGCTAAATCTGTACTCACATTATTCTCAAATCTACACATCCTCCCTTGCGTGTTCATTAATGAAATATTTTGGCAAATTTGATTATGCTCTCAGCTGCCAGTAAGAGTGTAGTACCCTCAGCCCTGTTTAAATCCATATTTAAATCCATTTACCACATTTCCCCCCTGGTATAAGCAAAGAAAGTCTGCAGGTTCAATCTGGGCCTGGTTAGTTGCTAGTGTTTGTGTGATTTGTAGCTTAGCAATGGCAGTCTTGCAATCAATACCTGCAGCAGCATATAGCCAAAACCACCCCTTCTGTCGTCCTCTCTGCGTGTAGCATTAAGGACCAGTCAGCTGTAAATCTTTGAGAACAAAAAACATAATGATTATGATTTATGTCCTCAGGAGCATCTTGGATGCAGACTGTTGAATCTGTTCTTGTCCCTTGGATCTGCTGGCTAATGCATTAATCACTTCCGCTGCGTGTTTGGTGAGGAAAATGCAATAGTCGTCCATCAACCCTTTTCTGGCCCGACCCTCATATTTATCCATTTTTATTGCATATGGATTGCTGGACATGCTTGATGATGTGTGGGAGCTGTCCGTGCATATAAAACCACCATTTATATAAAACTCACAGAGGCTTAGAACTCCGTCAAAAAGAGCAGTTTATGATCAAATCCTGTAAGCGAATAAAAAAACAAACATTCCGATAACCTCAACGCTTACTGCGCTGGTGCAAACACATTTTGTTGGTTATCTTAAAATTACTATAAAGGGGAATTGGAGTGGTTTATTTTATGACTGTTTAGTAGGTGAAGAATCTGAGCCCTGCAGGACTTACAGCTGAACAGCTGAGTCTGTTTGTTTCTGCAAAGATCAGCTTTTTCATGCTGCGCCTGACATTTAACTCCGGTGTGGTTTGGGAAACTCAGGTGACTCTGAGGTTATCATCACAGTCCCTCAACCTGCACAATCTAAGCGATTTGTCAGTGCATGTGTTTTATGCTTTATGAAGCATTTGGGACCAGACTAAAGGCAAGCATAAACAAACATAGGTTTTCATTGTGGTCCAAGCAATGCTATGCAGGTCATTGCTGGTTCATTACTGGTCTAACTGCCCAAATTCTGGTCAAATAATTTGACTTTTCTGATGAAACTGATTGACCAAGGTTACCTGGTTAAGCTAATTAAGAAGCCTGGTTCTGTGGATCCAAAGTACAACATATTCTGGTCACCAGCATCTGTCTTAGTTGAGGAACAGCATTCATGCTAACTAGAGTAGTTTGCATGAGTTATATTTATAATATCTGGGTTTCCCAATACCGGTTTGACTAACCAAACAATTTAAATAAAGTGAGACCAGATTTATTTTAAACTTTTTTTTTTTTTTTTACATCAAAGATCAATTTTAACAACCTATATTGTTTTTCAAGTAAATAAGTTGGGTCATAGTGGTTTGCTGACATAACAGGTTGGAAAACTCTGGATTATATTATAGACTGTGAGCTGTCTCACTTTTGACCTACAGTAACGGATCAATAAACTCCATAAACTTCAAGCTTGTGCTACAATTTATATATATATATATACAGTATATATACTCAGTCTCAGCTGTTCTTGATGTATGATATCCAATAAGATTTTCTATGATTCTCTCTGAACACATTTTATCAGTCATCAAAGGCCATAACCACATTTTAACACGGCTGAGATGGATGCTTGTGGAAGAGGTAGGCTTATAGTACAGATTGTATTTGTTTCCCTGTCATTATTTTTCCATAAATAACGTCTGAATGATACAGCCATATGGTCCCAATCATTCAGTTTGTTAATATATTAATTCAGCGGCGTTGCATAAGCTTTTTTCCCATTTTTTCCCTGTAAATTCTATGCAGACAGATCCCCACATTTATTCAGTTTGTGTTCCCATGTGAATGACAGATTGTTTTGGATGACCCCAGCATCTGGATGACTCCATCTGCCAGGACAGATTCGGACTATATGAAGTGGTATTTATGGATGTCTTGTTAATAGAAACCAGTTTCACCGCTGCTTTGACCTGTGGTGTGAGAAAGCTGCAGCTGTGTTTGCGACTGTAGTCACATAGCATTTTGCTGTAGTCAAATTATTATTTTTTTAATATTGTGCCTAAAAGAGAAATTACAGTATGTATAGCCTTATATAGTAATTGTAGTATTGTATATGATTTATTTTATTTAATATGAATAATACAAATAATATTAAATATGCAGTTATTTTATTTTAGAAAATCTTTTACATTTTTTTTTTTACATTTCTTTCTAGCAACCTGAAATGCAATTATGCCGATGCAACCTGCAATACAATTACATTTTTACATTTTATTTTAAATTCAAAGTGACTTATATTTGCAATCAACATATATACATTTTTGTTTTTTGAAGTTTAATTTAGTAAAATAGTGAAGTAGGCCTACATTGGATTTTGAGTTGTTTTTGTAACTCAAAACTATCCATTTATCATAAACGATAAGGGCTGTGCTTTTTCGGAAAGTGAAACCTGAGCCTGACATTTAATAGGAACTCATAACACAAACAACATTTGAAAACGAAATTATGTAATATTAGGCAAGGATTTCTGTATTTTAGCTAGACATGTCCAGAATACTGCTGAGAGATCCTATTCTGCATGGAAGGATAACAACTATTTTTATTGGTTCCTTTTACAGTGAAATCCCATTTACTAAGCCACATTAAGGTCAACAATAGATCAAGTGGTTTTTGTATTTACATAATGCCCTTTCTGTCTCATGTAATTCCCACTTCAATAGGGCCAGTCAGTGCTGTAAGTGTGTGCCAGGGCAAATTGTTTTGATTTGCGAAACTTTGTATCAAACAGCGCTTTTATGTTCTGAGATTCCTTGGGTAAGCAGAGTTTTGACTAAGTGTCATGTTGAATTAGGATCAGTATCCTTGAAGAGGCCCAGTTACCTCTGAGCATAGCTCTCTGCTCCTCCTCACAAGTTATTGGGGACTCATGGGAAGAAACGACATTCATTTTCCTGGATTAGTGACCTCTATTGCGGAACTCTTTTTTGTAATGCTTAATCCATATGTTACCCTAAACCAGGAGTTCTTTAATGGATTTTAATGTTATACAGTACGCTTTGAACTTTCAAGGTTTGTCAAACTCAACCACTTCCCTTCTGTATCACTAATATACCCACTTTTTTTTGGTCTTTCAGCTCTAAGTCATTTGATCTCCAGTTTCTCCCATCCTGGTATAAGGGACTACTCTCAGCTGACCCTTGACCTCACCAGGAATGAACTTATAGTGGGAGCAAGGTAAAAACTTATGATATCTGGCCAAAGTTTGGACTGATGCATGAATAAGATCAATACAAATACACAGTTTCAATATTTCTATATTAAATGTTTATATTATAATATAATTTAGAATTTTTATTGGTATATCATTATATAATATGTGTTTTTGAAAAACAAAGTATATATATATATATATCTGTAACGAATAATCCACTGAAGGCGAGTTGAAGTGTGAACCCAAGTGCAGTTTATTTATAATGGTGATCCAAACATCCAAACAATAATCCGACACTTGACATGAACAGACTTGACTAGAACAGAATTGACGAGGCATTAACAGACTTGGCATGAATAGGACTCACCAACAGCAGAGTTACAACATCAATACACGACAAGGGCACAATGGGGAACACGAAGGCTACTTATAGCAGACAAGAGGGTCACAAGACAAGAACAAACCAATGGGAAACAAGACACATGACTAAGGCAACCAATCAGAACATGACACAATGAACAGAGGAACCAATGACATGAATACATGAGGGCAAGGGAAGCATGACACAAACAGGGACCATGACTAAACTAAATAATAAAAGACATGAACATGAACCAAAAACAAAACCCAAACCCCACATTACATATCCCCCCCTCTAAGGGCGGCTCCAGACGCCTAAACAAAACCCAAAAAGCGGGGGGCCATGGCGGAGCAGGCAGATCGGGGAGCCATGGCGGTGCGGGCAGAGCGCAGAGCCATGGTGGAGCAGACAGAACAGGCATCCATGGCGGTGCAGGCAGAGCAGGAAGCCATGGCGGAGCAGAGACATGGACAGACCACTTGACTGTGAGTTCATGAACGGCCTCCTTGGCTGTGGCAGGACAGACTGTGAGTTTGTGAGCGGCCTCCTTGGCCGTGGCAGGACAGACAGTGAGTTCATGATCAGCCTTCGTGGCCGTGACAAGACAGTCTGTGAGTTCGTGAACGGCATCTGCGGCTGTGACAGGGCAGGCAGTGAGTTTGTGAGCGGACTCCGTGGCCGTGATAAGACAGTCTGTGAGTTCGGAAGCGGACGCCACCACCTCAAGAGGTTCTAC